ATTTTAGTATAATAATTTAACTTGTATCATATACCTTTCCTCCTGTCACTGAAAAACTTGCANAAAAATTTAAGAAATAGTTTCCTTGATGTTATTACAGATATGTATTTCACGGTATGTGTGTCACACTGACACAGTCATTAAATTTATTGAAAAGTCTTAGTTATGTTTTAATTATTATATTTTTCCATTATTATTATATTGAGCATCCTAAAATAAGAAATATTTAAAATATTATATATTAGTACTTTTATAATTAGAAAATAAAAATGGAAATTCTTCAAAAATAAATTGTTTTATGATACAAAATGATTTAAAATGACCGAGTATGCTAATATTTAGGTTTTTAGAAAATAACAGAAGTTTGAATAATTTATTTTATTGACTAAAAATAGGGACACAAATATTATCTCTAATATAAATTCATAAAATAATGTAAATACATATTTAATAAATACCTACTATTTAAAAACTGATGTTAAAATTAAAACAAATATTTTTATTTGTGGTTCCATGTTTGCATGATATAGAATTTTAATGAACTATAATAACTCAATAATTTGTTGTTGGCCCAATAAAAAAAATCTTCCTAAAACTGAACCAATAATATAAATTTATTACATAATTTACGTTAGAAGAATTTCCTTTAAAAACTTAAAATGACATTAATATTTTGATTATTTATTTTTACATATTTTATTTAGCTGCTGATAAATTAATTATGATTTGGGGAGCTTATGATGGCGAGTATAAAAAATCTATTGCGGGACACAAATTAGGTATTAATGATGTCAGTTGGTCTTCAGACAGTTGCTTTTTAGTGACTGCGTCAGATGATAAAACTTTAAAAATTTGGAAATTCAGTTCAGTAAGTATTTATTTTTATTATGAAATTTAATCTAATAATATAATTGTTATATTCTATTTTATTGTTAATAAATTATATTTGTATAATGTAATTAATAAATTAATATGTATATTATTATTTATGAATAGCATTACTGTTACTAATAAATATTTATTTATTATTAAATTACTATTGTAAGTTTAATATATTGGTGTATATATATTTTAGTCAAAATGTGTCAAGACACTTAAAGGTCACACCGATTATGTATTTTGTTGTAATTTTGACCCTGAATCAAATCTTATAGTTTCTGGATCAGTAAGTTTACACAAAGTTATACAAATTTTGTTTATATCAAGTAACAACGTGCAATGGTATTACTTATTAGTTTGATGAAAGTGTACGAATTTGGGAAGTTAAAAGTGGAAAATGTCTTTTAGCATTACCTGCACATTCAGATCCAGTTAGTGCTGTTCATTTTAATATTGATGGCTCACTTGTTGTTTCTAGTAGTTATGATGGTTTATGGTAATAATTCTTTAAATTTTATGTAACCTTATAAAAATTAAAAATTGTCTGTTTTATTTAGTCGTATTTGGGATACTTCTAGTGGTCAATGTTTAAAAACAATTATTGATGATGATAATCCTCCTGTTTCGTTTGTAAAATTCTCACCAAATGGCAAGTTTATATTGACAGGTACTTTCAATAACACTCTAAAAATATGGGACTATACAAACGAGAAATGCTTAAAAACTTATGTAGGCCATAAAAATGAAAAATACTGCATATTTGCAAGTTTTTCAGTGACAGGAGGAAAGGTATATGATACAAGTTAAATTATTATACTAAAATTATAATTTACACTCAGTTTGTTTATTTTATTTTAGTGGGTAGTCTCTGGATCTGAAGACAATATGGTATATATTTGGGATTTACAATCTAGAGAAATCGTGCAGAAACTACAAGGACATACTGGTAAATTTAATTAGTAATAAATTCTATGCAACTTTTGCATGACTGTTAAATTTATTTTCCAGATATAGTTTTGTGTACATCATGTCATCCAACAGCAAATATAATTGCATCAGCGGCATTAGAAAAGGATAAAATAATAAAACTATGGAAAAGTAATATCTGAAGATAATTGTAGATAAGTGAATTTCTATCGATGTTTTCAAGATAGTTATTGTTATATTAATTTATTCAAATAAAATTTGGATTTAAACTAATATTTATATTATGATACCTATGGGACGGAACTTACAAATGGGTGGCCCTTCCTTTGGGCAACCCTTCACAGATCTAGAACAATCGTCCAGCAATGAAGTATAATATTTATGTCTTTATTTATCAATTTGTTAATATTTTCCTTATTTTAATTTAATTTTTGTTTCTGTTAACTTTAGAAACCAAATTATTCATTGATATTTACATTGGTTGGTCATACAA